CCTTTCTGCCTTGTGTGACTTCAGGAGGTTTTTAGCTGTGAACTGCAGCGCTGCTCACGGGCGCAGGGCGGGAAAGGAGGACTCTGCGGGGCTGTCACGCAGGCAAAACCCAGGCTGTTTTTTTCTCAGGATCTCTAACTAATGCTGCTAAATGCAGGGTGAGAAAGATCTTCAGCCAAGACATTAAAGACTACCTCCTGCAAAGCCTGCTGCTAATCCTCACGTGGGTGCCCATGACACATGACATTTTCCCTTCCCCCCCGGGACAGCAGCACCCTCTGCAGACCGGGCGAGCCCCGCGGGAGAGCAGCGCGACCCCCCTGGGACACACCACATCCCGCTGCCCCGCCATCGCCGCTCGGTGTCACCTCCCGGGCGGGAGGTCCACGGCTCCGGGGTGCACGGGGAGGTGTGGAGTGGCAGGGGTTGCCCCGACTTGCTGGGAGGGCAGGTCAACCTCTGCCCTCCGTGGTCTGCGTGAGGGCCTGGCTCTGACTGCAAAATCACTCTCTGGCATTGGCAAATGTCAACTTTACCTGAATGAAACTGAATTCCCGCCAGTTGAGAGAGTTTGCGATGGATGGAAGTGAAGTGATGGCAAGTAACGACAGCAAGCCCAGGGCAATTATTCCAACAGAGATATAAATCTCCATCCTCCAGACTTCCTCCTCTACCCAGATATTCATCTTCTTCTCCACAGCCTGGCACGACAACGAAGGTTTGTTAAAACGGAGTGCTTAGAAATAGAGGAACTGAATTTTATTTGTATTCGTTTTGGATTTGGAAGCAGGTTTCCTGGATGCACACTGGGTCCTATTCACACCTCCAGCACTATTTGCCTCTGTGTTTTGGGAGGTGTGAAAATGCTCTTTTATCCCACCGCCGTTTGGCCAAGCTAGACCAGATTTGAAGCCTGCTGGGAAGAACTGCTGAATGCTCTCGGCTCTCACAGCCTGTAACCACAGCAGCAAGCCCCAAAGTTGCATTTGGAAAGATAATTAGAACGAGAAGTCAGTTTAAAGCCATGAAAACAAATACAGATGCTTGAATATGCAGTAGTCTCCTAATAACCTTCGTTTTAAGTGCATTTAGGGGGGAAATTGTTCATGCTAATGGAAGGGAAGATGGGTTTTATGCCGCACGGCAAAGAGCAACATTTAGAACCATCCTCTTTAGCCCATTATATGGGTTTAATTTACTAAACAAAGATGTTGCTAGAAAACAGGAGGTAGAGGGGAAATGAACACAGGATGCTTGCCCGAGATTAATGTGCAACTGTGGCAATTGAGAAGGACCTGCTCAAGGCTGGAGCCGAAAGGCTGGGGATGTCGTTTGATGGACACTTAGAACAGGCACTGCTGCCAAAAGCAGCCGTCCCGCTCCCCGCTGCCCCCACGGCCCCTTCCCTCCTCTCTGTTGGGACAAACATTTGGAAACACTTGGGAAATATCCCAGTGCAGAAAGCAGACTGGTTACGGGGCAATTCCTTGATCAGGTTCCCCACTCAGCTGCACAAAGCTGGTGCCATCCCAGGAGGGAGCAGGGTGGAGCAGCCAGAAGCCAGGGGCAGGAGAAGGGCAGAATCACATTTTCCCGTGGCACTGCCGGCTTACAGAGTGGCTGAATTGCCTGAAGGTAGCAATCTCACACTGGATAAACACCGCCGAGAGTCTCAATAAGGCAATAAAGTCCTTTTCCATTTCCTCTTTCTCTTAGACTATGACTCGTTCTTCACCATCATTTTGTTAAACTCCTGGAGGCACATTGTGATGAGGACACATATCCTACAAACCAAACTCCCCGGGTTATGTCTTGGTCACTCCAGCAGGCACCTACTGTGAACATCAGTGTGAGCAAATGGGGATCTCCCAAAATCTAGAGTGAAAAGTTGAGGGGAACTCTGCTCTCTCCACCACTGGATTTCTCGTCTCCCAGCATTTTTCCTGCCTCTGCCCTAGTCTCAGACACGCCAGGTGCTGGGCAAGGCTGGTTTCAAAGGCTTGTCTGTGCTTCTGGGGAGCAATGGCACAGGGGAGTTGGACCCTAGCCCTGGCTGTAAATGCACGGGCAACACCCTGCTAAGATGGCTGGTCTTCAGTGCAGATGGGTGCGTGCCCGGTACGTGGTGTGTGGTTGCCTCGTGGAAGAAGTGCCCACACAGGTAACAGCTTATTCCCACTGTCCCATACATGCTTTGGACAATGAATGCAAAGGCCAAGATATTAAGCCTACTACCCAACATCTGGATGTGTGTAGAAGATTACTACAGGTGCTGACCTGATGAGTACCCACATTACCTGCTTAACGGCTGTCTCGATTAACTGGTAGCGGTGGGAGCGGCGCATGGGCAGACAGAGGCTGTACACGGCATGCAGAGCTGCACAGAAGAAGCTGAGGAGACCAATCTGCTTTCGGTGCTGGAGCCACTGGTCGAGCCAATCTGGAAAGCGCCTGTATTTGGTGCCATAGTAGAGCTGTGAGCAGGCTGCCAGCACCCCGGGCAGGTAGACGAGAGACAGCATGACGTAGGCCACGCACGGCAGCGTTGTGTTGACCACCTCGATGGGGATCTTGTACAACTTGTTCTTCTGCTCCCTGATGTATGGGTGGATGACCTGCCGGATCAAGTTGTAAGTGAAGAAGCAAAGAAAGAGCCCTAGAGCCAAAAAAATGGGGATTTTCCAGGCTGGCAAGAGGCGCAGGGGGATGTTCTCGATCTCACAGGCTGATGACATGCAGCCCATGTCCACAGGGGTGAATCCCATGACTTGAGCAATTTCTGCTACAATGCGCTTGGCTTCTTGGTTATTTGAGCAAATCAGAACCTGCAATGAACAGAAAGATACACACAGGGCAAAGAGAGATCAGGCTGCTGGGAACGAGCGTGTCGGGAGGGATGCTGTGCTAAAGGAAGCCTACATTATTCCATGGAGCATCGTGCTTCCTGGCAGGCTTTCTGATGGGGATTTACCATGGCTGCCAAAGACCTCTCTCCTGGACAGGTTTCCTTTCATATGTGCACCACCAGTTTGTTTTACTGGCTGTGTTTAGATAAACAGACAATTAAATAATACTTTTCACCTAGAGAGAGGCTCCAAAGACTACAAAGCATGAAGTAAGTGGGGGTACTTTCTGAGCAAAGAAATGCAGAAGCTATGGGGTGGTCTCCGGATGCCACAGCCAGCACTCAGACCCCTTTCCTGGAGCCTAAGGCCATTTGCTGATGCTGCCAGACCTCAGCTGCTGAAACAGTTGGGATTTGGCCCTTGTCAGAAGGAAACAATACCTGCTTATTTCCATCCCTGGCACCTGACTGCAGCGTCCACGCAGAAACCATGTTAAACCCCTTGACCACGGTGCAGGCTGGGAACAGGGAAGCCAAGTACTCGGCGTTGGATTCTTTGTGATGGTTGATCTCGGTGTTGTTACTAACGTCCACCAGGATCTTGCCTACCAGCACATCAGCCAGGTCACAGAGGGTGGAGTAATGTTCCCTGAAAACCGCCACAAAAATGACATCCGTCTTCTTCACCGCGTCAGCCTGGAAGGTGACTTCTGCTGCCGAAGGGAAGAGGCCGGCTTTGCGCTTCGGGTTGCGGCTGCCGACCACCACCTTGAACCCAGAGCACACCAGGCGGATGGCCAACGACCGTGCAAAGTCCCCACTCCCCAGCACCCCGATGGTGCGGCCGGCCGCAGGTGTGATGCTGGGATCACCCTCTGTGCTCTGATGGCCCAGCAGGGGTTTGGCCATGTCTCCTCCGGACATCCTGGCAGGAAAAACAAGGGGAAATGCAAGTTCATTGTGAAGCTCTTGCAGACTCAGACCACATCCGCGGTCATGGGGAAAAAATGCCACTTAGGCCACTTGAACAGAAGCGCACGTGGTTTTGGTCCCAGTAGCCCAGGACCCATCTGCCAAACCCACCAGCAAGTGTGCAGTAATGTATGAGCACCATTGGAAGGGGACAAAACACCACGCTGGGTTGGAGGCGAAGGGTTTTAGGAAGGTTTCCTGTGTTTGTATGATCCAACACCTGCTGGCCTGCACTCATCCATCCTTTGCTATTCTTCATGCCGGCATCTCATGCTGCCAGCACAATCCTAACAGTGACCAGGACCAGCAACTCAGAGCCCCACGGAGCCAGCAGGCATCTTCTGAAAAGCCCAGGGCCAGGGGTCCATGGGGATCCCTGAGCCCACATTTGGGAGAGCTTGGGGGGGTGGCTTCGAATCTGGAGGAGCAGAATCAAGGCAGGGAGTTTAACCTGAAATGAAAGTGTCCTAAAAGTGGTAAACCAAGAGAGTTGCAGCCTTCGCCTGTTCCAATATTTGGGTCTGGCAAGTGCTGTTTGCTTTAGCTCTTCAATGAGTAATGAGAACTTACTCCTGACATTTAAAAAATATATTAAAACATGATGGGATTTGCTCATGAAAGATCTTGATGAGCTTTACAAACGTTAATGAATTTTGCCCTGTAACACTCTGCTTTCCGTAACAGATTGGATAGCGAGGCCACAGAGAGGTTTTAAGCAGATCAATAAATTCATGGGCAGCACACCAGCCGGCTTTGGACGACAGATGAAACTCAGGCAGGGAACTGCCAGGCTGCTCACGGGCTGTGCCACCAGCGGCTCAAATCTGCCTCCCGGCTTAAGGAATGGCAAATTTGCCCTTAAGGAATGGCAAATTTCTTAAGGACAGATTTTTAAAGGGCCCAGGAGGTAGCCCAGGGAACTTACACAACAGGACATCTGGCTTTTGTATTGGGCATACTGGTAGAGATTATAATAAAGACCATAATTAATAAACTCATGATATATTGGGGACCGAGACAACCTGGTTTTGGTGGAGTACAGTCTTGCCTTATAGCTAGTCAAGTTCTTTCAAAGTGAAGGTGACCACTCTGATGGGGTGAGCTGGTCCTTGTCACAGGCTGTGTTTTTCATAGGCTTTTGGAAATGTCCTTCACCCAAGGCTTTTCTGGGATTGGAGCAGTAGTGGTGCAAAGGGGAAGGGCACTTCTGCATGATTAGTTACCAATGGGAAACAAAGGGTAAGAAGAAATAAATCATTTTCATAATGGGAAGAGGTTATCAAGGGGATTTCCCTGAGGATTTGTGTTTTTCAGTATGCTCATAAGTGATCTGGGAAAAGGAGTGAATACTGAGAAGATGGAGCTTGTGGGTGATGATCGTTTGGGACAGTCGATCTCTATTGAGAAGAATCTGCAGAAGGATCTCCTCACTCAAAGTGCCTGAGCACCAAAATTCACTACTGACACATGGCAAGAGCTGTCTATGGGCATAACCCCCCCTAACTATACGTATACTTTAATGAGCTGTATATTTGTTACAGCCAGTCAGGAAAAAAAGATCTGAAGGTCACAGTACTCTGAACATACCAGCTCGGTGCTCCCTGGCAGGCACACATCAAACAGAGCCTGACTGACTGGGGGAGAAGATCTCTCACAAAGCAACCACGATCTCTCAGTCCTGCTCCTCATGGAAAGCCTACAAAACGCCTTCAGCAGATGGACTTCAAAACTATAATTCACGTTCTGGATACAAAAAATCATGGCTATGGTGACAATACTGTTTCTATGGCAGAGGTCTGTCTGTTCACCTTGCCTCTCACCAAGCACCCCGCTGTCCCAGAGACCAAAGACGCGTGTTCATAGAAGAAGTGCTCTCAGGAGAAAACAAATGCCAAAGAAAGACGTGATGACTTCTCCACTTTAATAACAGCTTTCCTCTACTCCCCACATACCACGTAGACTTTCTTTCATGCTCTAGGTGAGTAAGAGAGGCCTGTTAAACTCAGAATTACTCATACTTCACTCTGAAGGTTTCGGCTTCTGTTCCAGACCTGCAGAAGGGTTTGTGTACTCCAAGGCTGATTTGGTGATGCTGGCTGTGTCAGCTGGGTTAAGCCAGGCTGCTGCCTGGGCACACACCCCTGCCTTAGCTATATTCCATGTGTATCACAGTCACTAGGATGTTTCATCCAGGAATTAGTGGGAAGGGCATACAAAACAACACAGAAAACACTACTATACCACTGTATAAATCCATACACTGAACTGCACAGTGCAGTTCTGCTCACTCCACTGCAAAAAAAAAGGGAATAAAACTAGAAGAGGTCCCTAGGGAAAGAAAAAAAAATGACAACGGCTGTCAGCTTGGAAAAGAAACACATCAGTGAGGAGGGAGAAGGGAATGCCTGGGACTTCTCGAGGTGAAGAGCAACCTCACAAGTGGAGCTCAGGTCAATGGGAATGCTGGGAAACAATACGGACAGACCAGTCCTCTTCATCCACAACCAGCCATACTGCAAAACCCCTAATGTAAAGTAAAGCAGCTCTATCTGAAAAGATGTTGGTGGGGTTTTTTTTCTGGCCCCTACCTATCAGACACTTTAGCAAAAGCTCACTGCTTTACTTTTTAGAAAGTTTCTTGCTCCACCTAAATTTATTCATGGCCAGAACTATTTGTTCTAGGGCCAATGCTATTGTTCAGCCTAACGAGCTTTCTTTCCTACACCCCCCCTCCTTTTCCACCACCTGTATGCACAAAATGTTATCCCAAAATAAAGAGACACATCTCTGGCTCTCAGCCAAGGGGAGAGAAATCAACATTCAGCGTGACAAAGCGGTTGTTACCCGCAGACTCATTTTATAATCAATCTAAAGCACCTCAAAAGCTCTCTCCGTGCTCCCACAGGGATGAGAATTTTGCTGCAAGCAGATTTTCTTGTAGTGTGTTTTCTCTGTCTTGTAACTGCCATTGAACATGTAGAGAGATGTTGGCAATGTTTGGAGATAAACAGCTTTGCTGTCTCCAGTTATTTTGATTAAAAAGGATCACAATATTAAATGGCCTTTGAAGTCAGCAGGATAGTTAAAAGGTAAGAAGCCTCAAAATGTTTTCTGTGGATTTTGGTGTGATTATTTCAGTTGTACTTTGACTCTCGGGACTTCGGAGCAGGACCCATCCCCGCTGCACAGCCCTCGGTGGGAGGGCAGCTCGGTCCCCGCCGCCAGCTGCTGTCTGCTACCGCGGGTCACATTGCCATCACTGCCACGCACCGAAATCCTCCCAAGGAAGCAGGAGAAAATCCCTCTTTCACCGTAAACGCATTTCACCAAGACAAACACCGTGGTCTCTGCCTAACAGATGCCTGGAAATGGAGCGTCTGATTAGGCAACAGTTTTTTTCACTTCTGTATCTCTGTGGAGCACGCAGACCCCCGCCTCTCCTGCCGTCTCCCCTGCCTTACCTTGTTCACACTGATTTTTCTGCACCTATGAACAATGTGTTACCTGCTCAAAACTCTCCTTCCCAAAGCTAATTCTTCATGGCAAGGTCAACCCACCCAAAGTCAGTGCAAAGCACCATGGCCAGGATGCTGCAGAGTCACCCGGAGACAGAGGAGGCCAAGAGTGAATACCGCGGCGCTTGGACACATCTTTAGCATGCTGCAGCCTTAGTTAAACCTCATTTATTGATCTTCCCTATCAAGGAAACTCTACCCCTGCTGAGTTATGGCATGTGCAATTCAAGGAGATCTGTTTCTTACTGAGGAAGCTACAAGATGATTTAAAGCACAGCCCAGTGGAAGTAAATTAGCTTCAGTCCTAACCGGGAAGCAGTTCCCTAATTAAAATATCTAATACTATGTAAAGCTGCCCTTCAGCTAGACTATTAATGACACCCTTATATAACTGTGTGGGGATGCTACGTCCAGCTCTAGCACACTTGTTCCTGTGTGCAGTTCAACGACTGCCTGGCAATTACTGCTATTATTTGCAGGACAATAGCAGTGATGGGCAACGAGCAAGGCAGGGAGCTCCGCTCTGCCAGGCACCCTACCAAAACTGGCCAGAAGGCCACTCCTGCCCCAAAGAATGGGATCAGACAGACAAAAGCTGGGTGAAACGAAGCAGTCAAATCTCTGTCGCCCAGGCTGAGGGAGTGAGGGAGGGGCTCTCACAGAAGAAAAACACGGATAATTCAATGTATTTTGCACCTGAGGCTTGGCAGAGGCTGTTAGCTTAGGCTCAGTGCCAGGCAAACAAGGTTTTTCTGCCTCTCCGCCCATGCTGAGCAGCTTTGCTCAGGTTTAGGAGGACAGCCGTTCTGGATGGAGCTGGGCTGCAGGAGCCTGCTCAGGTGTCTCTGAGCTCACAGCAGATCCCCTCCCACCGCTAACGGGGAGCCGGCTCGGTCGTTATCCTCTTTCAACAGACGTGGGGGACCGAGATACTAACGATAACAGGACTCCAGCAAGTTTGCCTGGGAAGACCCTGATATCCTTGACCAAGTCTTTAACAATGAGACCATCTTTTTGGGCCCCTTTCACTTCCTCTGGTACAGCAGGATAGCCTAGCTGGTTCCCATAACTCGCAGTTTGAGTTGCAAACCCTGAAGAAGGATGGACCTGTGGTGGCAAGGCAGGGGCTTCACTTCAGTTCTGGCCCAAAAAAATCAAGACCTATTTCACTGCCTTGGTGTTCAGATTTATCAGATAACAGACAACTTAGTTTTACAATAACTCTAATAAAAAAAGCAATGTCTTAAACATATCGCTGAGCCAAACTGTGCTGAAGAACAGGGCAGCAATCTCATAAGGAGCTGCAAGTAATGGTTCTGTCCAGTGCAACCAAACTGGTTCCTGTTTGCACAAAAGCTCATCTCTGAGCTCAGCCTCAGGTACAGAGCCTGAGCCAGCAGTACCTTGGCTAAAAAAAAACGCTTTTGTGTCTTCCCC